AAATCTGATTATTTTAGAGTAGAAAAATTATGGCGAAAGTTTCGTCTACACATACAATAGAACAATTTTTTAAAATTTCTGAAATTTAGCTCATCAGATTGTGAATATAACCCCAATTCGGTAATTAATTTAAAGGTTATTAAATTTGTAATAATAAATTACACAGCCACATATTTTTTGTTCATTATTATTTTTGCTAATATTAAAAATTGTAAATTTCACAAAAGATTTAAAGAATGACTATTATGCAGTGTCATTGAAATTTATACATACACATGCATATACAAAGTTTATAAATGTACAGGTTCATTTACATTTTTAAAAAAAAGGATAAATAGATTTTTTCAACTCAAATAGACACTAAAAGCATTGTCTACATTTGATAGGATTCGATAAATTATATTTTATATTCTTTTCAATTTTATGGAAGAATTATTTTGTCGATTACACAAAATTATTAAAAACAAAGTTCAATATGTTTTTGTGCATTTTTATTGTATGAGTATATCGTAACCTGTTCAAATCCAGTTATATTAAATATCGTTTATTATAATAATTTTAACACTAAGAGAGAGAGAAGAATATGAAATACAAAGTAGTGCGTGAATATTGTTTAAATTGACATGTATAGCTAAGTATTTTCAAAACACACATTAAAATATTTCAATAAATCACAGCCGGCTGGATGGTGAAAAGGTTTGTGGCTCCTACAAAAAGTCACCACATTTTTTTGTGTATTACATTGTTTATCATTCTCATAAATCATGGAACCTATAATATTCGCGCAGAATTGGTATATTGAGAATAGCTTTTGCGATCGAGTCACGGAAAGTTCGAATAAAGTGTTGTTTGGAAGTCAGGTTTCGAGTTCTAATGCGATGCATTTTCAATAATTAAGCATGCGGTATAAATAACTTTTTAACTTAAATTCTTCTTCCGGCTATTGCCTAAAATTTACTCAAGTCTTCCTAAAGTTGACTTAACCAATTTTATAACTCTTTAACTTTATTTTTTTTTTAAATGAACATTCTGTTGTGTAAATATAAAAATTTTGTAATTTAAATGCGTGCTTTATTATTTTAAATATTAACTTTAAAATGATAAAAAACATTAATTTCGAATGATTTAATATTGTAACATAAAAAAAAAAACAAATTCAAAAATCCAAATATTCAAAATGAACAATACGGACAGTAATGGAAAACCATAATTTGTGCAAATAATTTTAAAATTGGAAATGCCAGATTTGTTGAATTTTTTTTTTGTTGTTTGAGTTTGTTGGCAATTTTTTCTTTAAATCATAAATTGTAAAAAATTTTGTAAAAAATTAAATTGATTAAAAAATCAATTGTAAAATAATAAATTGTAAAAAATTACAGAAAAGTAGTAAAATTTTGATTTAACATTTCCAATCTATCATAACTTACAAAATATTGAATTCCTTAAACTCATGGAGTCAAGAAACATTGAAATTTATAAGAGCATAAAAATAAAGGAAATCAATAAATTAAATACCAAATTAAAGAAAATCAGGATTGTATGAAGAGAATAAACGATTAAACGATTTCATTGCATTCAAGAGAAAGAATTCAAGAATGTTTGGCACAGTAGCACCTAACAGGCTGTCCTTTCAACAAAAATTCATTTCTGCATTAGATTAGTATTTTTGAAGTAATATGTGTTCAAATATAATTTAGTTTAAATTTGAAATTCATAATCTATTCGCTAAATTTTCTATAAATTAATACGAATAGATTTATTTTTAATTCAATTCTGGAAATATAGAATACATTCTTAAATCAAAGAAATCATACACCAAGAATATTGTAAAAAAAATATAAAAATTTCTAAAAAATTTGGCAATACTTTTTCAATATTTGAATGGTAACTTTATTGTAAAAATGTAACGAGTATACCAAAACAAACCATTTTTATATACCAAAACCTATATTATATTTTTATTTTGATTTAATGAGTTATACATATACATACATACACATACATTATATTTTTTGTTTTATTTACAATATACTTACATTTAAAAAAAAACCATCATGTAGGTATGTTAAATAAACAGAAACAAAGAGAAATAATAATAAAGGACCTTTTTTTTGCAATTTATGTACAATGTATGAATATTTCATTATTAATATATATATACACATATATAAATATATGTATACTTTATACATATACATAAATATGTAATATAATGCTGATGATGATAATGCAAATACTTTTATTTTATTATTATAATGGAGAGGAAAAAAAAGAAGGAAATTAATGAACATCGAATTGTAAGTACCAATGGTACAGTATTGCAACATTATGCAATACGGATTCCAATGCCTCTTCAATTTAAATAAATATACTTATTCAACTAAAAATATAATGTATAACGTATGTACACATAAGGTCATGCATATATGAACTTACTTATATAATATTATGTACTTAATATGTAAATCGTTTTTTAATGAAGTTTGGAAGAAATTTTTTCAATTGGAATTTATTTATAAATTATTTTGCTTATTTTATACATACAATATATGTATTTATAATATTGCGCATACATATATATATATATATTAATATATAGTGCCTTTTTTCCTCGCTATTAATGTAAACAATTAAAGGATATTATGAGGTATTTAATATTTCCGGTATAAATACATTATATTCATTCAATTTTATTTAAATAAAAAATTTATATATGCACGTATGTATATAAATTTATTTATCTACATTATTTCACATTATTGTAATTTTAATCAATGATCTGCAGTAAACTTATTTTAATGTTACAGTTGTTTATTAAATCCACAATTATTTGCGGAATTATAGCATGTAAATATTGCAAATACTTGCTTACAAATAAAATTATATAGGGATTTACTTATGTATAATATAAAAATATTGTGTATAGAAATAATTATAATAATGTACAAATGTATATGTACATACTTGTATATAAATTTTATTCAATAGGGCCATATTATAATATTATATGAGGGGAAAAGTAGATTCATATTTGGTAAATTCATTTACTTTGAAGTATGCCGAAATTTTTGTAAAAACAAAAACTTTTATTAATAATCTGCAAATAAATTAAATATGTATTTTTGAATATTTTTGGAAGAAAATTATGTTTACTACGGGTATAACATTGAATACAGTACGCAAATATTCTTTATATAAAAATATTTTTATTGACATTCAAAAAGGTCATAATTGGCACACTGTCAAATTGACATTGTTTTGCTAGTATAAAGCACATTTTATATGTTAGGTGTGTTGTGATAATATAAAAAAAAAAATATCAGGTATAATTTTCCAAAATACTTCTTATAAACTCTTTCTTATTGTAAATAGATTGTTTTTAAAAGTTCTATTTAACTTTATTAAAAAAATTAAAAATTCAAATAGTTTGGAAACCAAATTCAGCTTTAGTGCTTTTTAAAAACTTTTATAAGATTCAAAATTTGTATTGATTTAAATTTGATTTTCGAAAGTTGCTACAGAACGAATTAAATTTTCATTCGATAGGCTAAATTTTATTAAAACATATTCATTAAGTTACATTTTAAGCATTATAAGTACTGATTTATTGTTTTCTATTTTATAGCGAAGCAAATTTATACATACGATATAATTGCAAACAATTACATACTAGAGAATGACCGCCAAATTACAAAGCTAGTCGAATTTTCAGCTTTTTATTTACATAAGACTTGTTGGTTACTTAGTTTAAATGGGAATTTTTATTTGTTATGTCATAGCACACGAAAACATAAATATTCTATAAAAATGATAATTGTTATATCTAGGGTTGTTATATCGTATAATTTTCTAAGAAGGCATTGAAATATAGATATGTCATGTTATACACTTTTGAAATGAAAATATATTCTAGTTTTTTTACCGTTTTGTTTCAAGTTGAAAATGAAACATCTGCATTTATGTTCATTTCTACATTTCATATTTAAATGTTCATATTGGTTATTTGCATACAAGTAAAATACACATTTAGAAACATTCAAAACTAAATAAGTGAACTCAGTTCTGATTGATACTAATTGCAATTGGAAAAAGTTTATATTTTATTTGATATAGAAAAATAATTTAAAATTTTAATACTATTTAATATTTAGTAGCAAAATTTTAAAATGCTAACTTTTTAAGACATTCTCGCTAAACTTTCACTAGTTCATGTTTTAATAAAACGAAAATAATGCAATGGTGTTTTATTCGAAATGATAAAAATGCAGATATCATGTTCTGACAGAAAAGTCTAGGTATTAATGTTAAATTTCGAAGAATTTTTAAACATCACTACTAAAGATACTAGATAATTGAATCTGAAAAAGAATTCTTAAAATTTATGCTAAAATTTTTACTCATTTTGTCTGTAATCGAAACTGCTATAAAATATATGTATTTATATATGAGTTGAATTTTTGTAATTTAGTAACCAACGCTGAAACTTATGTATGTACTCAAATACTCATTGGATAATGTTCTATTTCTACTCAAAGTTTTTATATTTGAGTTTCAATTTTCAAATAATTACAATTAATAATGCCCGTATTTCGTAAAACTGTAAAAATGATAAGAATTTTAATAAGCTTTCGTAGATTTTGTTTCGAGTGGAACATATTTAGGGATGTTGGTTCTAAAAATTTAAAAATAATTTTTATTTTGCTTTGATCCGTTTTATTTTGCTTAGTATTTAAAAAGCGAATTTATTGAATATTTTTTCAGGCTTCTTAAATATTAAAGATTTTTTTGCAATGAAACCAGTATTTTTATCATATATAAAATAATAATGTAAAATAATATAATAAAAGGATTTTTAAAATAAGTTCACAAACAATATTCTCTTTGGGGAAAATTATGCCCAAGAACCTATCTATATCTATAGTATTATATTACTTTCTTCTCTTTGTTTCTACTACAAAAATTTAAGAAAAAAAAAACAAAAAAATTAAGGATATACTTACGTGCTTGAAAAACTAATTGAATTAATCCGAATATCCAATAATATCCAAAGGACATTTTTAAAAAGGTATGTAATTTACTATTATTTCCTTAAATATTTTGGCAAAAAAATAAGATAAATAATTTGTAAATAACTCGATTTTTTTTACTTCTTTTCTATTTCGGAAGAAGAAAATTTATAAACGCATATGTACGTATTGTGTTCTTAATAATTTATAAATTGTGTTCAAAAAAAGATTCGTATAAAAAACGTATATAATTATTATGTCTTTATAGTTTTAATATATTAAAAAGGTGCAAATATCCTTATCTATTATTTATAAAATTTTATTCACTTATAAAACTATAGTTTACAATTACAGTATAAAAGACTTTCCACGTTATTTCTAATAAATATTTAGCAATTTTTTTATTCTGTTTCAATTTTAAATACAAAAATTTTAAAAAATTTTTTTTTAAACACGTAGCATAGAAAATTCCTTTGTTAGTAATATTTCATTAATATTATACAATTAATAATTAAAATTTTTATTAATCTCTATTAAAATTACAAATTTTTAAATAAATTGATTACACTTAGTCTTGACGCAATTACTAAAAATCCTTTTAATATTTTAATAAAAAATTTATTTGTTCACTTATTTGCTATTTGAATTTGAAATTTTTATTCATTACATATGAAAAATTTATGAGATCGAAAACAAAATATAAAATTTCACTCATTCTTCACTTTACATTTTGTCTTTATAAATTATTCTTATTGCAATTTAATAAACGAGATGGTACTTATGCAATTTTATAAAACAAAAATACAAAAACAAATTAAAACCCTTTTTGTTTTTATGTTTTCTTTCATTAAAAATCCGCACATAAAATTCACACGTCCTTTCAAAACAATCAACTTCGCGAAACTGAATTAGAGTTTTAAAAAACTCCGGTATTAATAAGTGTGAAGAAAGAAATTCATTATTAAATACAATGACTGAAATGAAAAAATCTTCTCTTTAAATAAATTGTTATATAGCTCTATATTACCATTTATACGATATAGAGTTTAAGATTTTCTGGTGTCAAATTTTCATTTTAATTAAAATTTCTTTTACTCTTCAGGATTAAGATACAGTAAAGTTTTTAGAGTGAATTTAACTTTATAATGTACTCCTTAATACATGTAAACAAATCACACAAATAAACAAATACAGTATTCAATTACTACATAATATACTCTCAAAATCTCAATATTATATTTACGGTCACAGAGTTTGTTTATATGAATATTCAAAATTCAAATATTCAATAGTTCCTTTTCCTTCATATAAATATGTACGACTCAATTACATATTAATTTCAGTTGTATTTTTAATTTTACTTGGAGAAATTGTGAGTAATTTTTCATATATTCAAAGTTTCTCTCAGAGAAAAGAAAATTTCTCATCTCCTTGTGAGAAGAGAATATAGCTATATAATGTATGTATTTGGGAGACCGGCAAATTTAATTTACGGTAAAATTTTGATGTTTGTTTTATTGTTTATTTTATGTATGTAATTTGTTTTTTTTTTTGTTATTTTTTGACACGTTCCTTTCGTGCATTTCCGTTGCAAGTAACGTGATAAAACGAATTAATATTTAGTTTATTTGATAAGGACTATAGGATATCATAATAAATATACTGTTACTATATTTTTTTGATACATAATTTTAATAATTTTGAAAATCGAATTAAGATTTCAGAAATCAAAGTTTGATGTAAATATAAAATACAGTAAGGTAGTCCCATTATAAGCATGATATGGTTTCATTACCTCTAAAATTTTTTTATTTTTTCTTTGATTTCTCGTATTTGAGTAATTAATGGTATCAAAAAATATTTGTGTTGTACCAGCCGGTATTTTATTAAAGCTAAAGTAGAATGGTCGTATGAATACTTACTCTGAGTTTTTGTGAAGTAAAAATTTAATATATTTTTGCATAGCATCATCATTCATTTTTGTAGCTAGCAATCCATCTATTTTATTATCAATACATTTCAGATTTAAGATAAGAATTGAAAAATGATATTGGAAATTATAATATTGAAGAAGAAAGAAATATATCTTGTAAAAAAATATACATGTAATAAGTCAATGTATGTACATACCATTTTTCAGCATTATAACAGTTGAACTAAGTTCATTATACCTGAAAAAAACCGTAATATACAGGCATGAAAATATAATTTTTTTTGTATCTATGAATTTTTTATATATCGTAAGAGAATATCGTATTTATTTATGAACATAAATAAGCATAAAATTATCTCTCACTAAATTTGAAATCAGCATCAGCATAAAATTGTTGAGAGAATTTTCGTTCTCTTTATTACATGAACTTGTTAAACTCTAAATTGGTATTGTGTACGTTATGTTTACTATACTAACAAAAAAGATATCGAGAATCGAAAAAAAGTAAAAATTTTTGTTCCCATGTAGCATTTCAAACATATTTTTAAAATTAACGATCTGGAATTCATACATGAATGAAATATTACAACCAAAACAACTAGGACTCAAATTTATTAAGCACAAAAAAAATTTTTTTGGACATAAGAATACTCGTAATAAAGAACTGGCTCTTGTTAAAGGTATAAAGTCGAATATTTTCTAAAATAATTTATTTTTCCAGAATAAATATCCAGAAACTGTTTAAAAAATTATACATTTTTATGGATTTTTTTTGTAGTGCTTTTCTTTCGACTAAATATAAGAATAGTAAAAAAAGTTAAAAACGCAATTTGCAGTGAAAATGGTTAAAAATGCAAAATTGCAAGAATAAGGTTTCTCCCAAAAATTTAATTTCACAGTTCAAATTAATCAAAATACTTGCCAAAGTCAACAAGGATATAAACCGATAGATGTCTTAATCTTCTTCAATAAGATGAATTATCGTTGGTGTGAATTTATGTATAATACATTGGTGACATTTGATGCGAGTGAAGCACCAATTTTCTTAGATATAGTACACACTATCGTATCATGGTTGTTTACTTTTAAATTAATTTACCAATATTAGAGAACATTGGAGTTCAAAAATATTGTCAAGAGCGAGATGATTTTATGAAACAAAATTCCATTAAACTTCTATTACAAATATGTTTTAAATAGAGAAACTAAGAGAATGAAAAATAAATTAGAGATGGTGAATAGATTGTCACTGAAGAGAAGCCTAACATTAAATATAAAACATGTTCTCTTTCTCTCCAATCGTTATTATAAAAAATTGTACTCCGAGCAATTTGTATCTTTATTATCATTAGATATTCTAAAGCACAGACAGCTTATATGATACTTGAAGTTTAAATGTAACGAAATATTTTGTTATAGTTGTCGGTAGTATTGTGTACTTTGAATTTAATCGAAATGACACATAATTTATAATATTTTCCAAACACTGAATTTTTGAGAAATTTCTTTGAAAAGAGAAAGAGAATTTTTAAATATTTTTTCTCTAAATGAGAAATTATTAATTTTATTTTAATACACTCAATACATACATATATTTTGTGATAGAAATTTTTATTATGATTCATTCAAAACCAGTTGAAGTTTAAAGTTAGTTGAAGAATTTTATGTTTGTGTGCATGTAAAACATAAAGGTTTCAAAGGTTTCAAAATTTTACACATGTTTTATTTTTAAGTGGCTATCTTTCATTTCATTTGTGCAAAAAAAGGAATAAAATAAAAAGAATGTCATTCTTTTGTTAATATAAAAAAAAGTTTTTTTTATCGGAACCTTTGTTTTGTCATTCTCTAGTGATCAAACAATACATAAAATCAAAATGAACACAAAACAATGCAATAAAAATGAGAAAAGATATGTCATGGCAAATATTATTATTATTTATGTGTATTCTTAAACCTGACCTTGTTTTAAAGATTATAATATAGAATTGTATTTTTAGAGTCATAGAATAAGATCATTTCATTTCAGGTAGTTTTAATTTGTGAGATCCGCTTTTTATATATAGTCTTCCTATAATTTAAAAGTATATTCATGGGAAGTGATAAATAAGAAGAAATACAAAATGCGATTAGTTTATTACGCTAATCATTTGATCTTTGTCGGCATCTCACCTTTTGTTTTTCTTGTTTCAGGTTATTCAAAGACAAACTATAATAAATAAAGGATTATTAATTTATTTAAAGCAAGATTTATGCAAACATTATTGTGAAATAACACTTATTAAAAAATTTCGTTGGAAATATTTCAATCTTTTAAAGTTAACAAATTCAAATTCATAAAATTGGAAAAACAACTGGAAATATTCACATTCTTGATTTGAAATTGAAACAGTATTGTTCAATAAACATTTTGTTTTAATTCAGCCTTTGTGCAAAATAGAAGTTTCCATTGAATAAATTATGCCTTACTGCTTAAAATCGAACCTTTGAGATGATGAGATTTTGAAATTCTTTGTTCGTCTACTTTACTTTCGTGTTATAATTTGTAAAATGTGAAATCTTTTTGATGTACACAAAAATTTCGAACCCTTGCCTACTCCTCCTGCGTTATAATAAGGTAAATAAGCAGTAAATAAATCAAAATTTGCTAAAAAAATTAATTAAATACGAATTTTTAAACTGCAGGGGCAATGATTTTTTTCTGGCCTCTCTAATTTCAAGGTGCGCAACAAATTATTCTCTTGAATTTTATTTAAACTTATTAACAACGTTAATTCATTTGTCATTTTTACTTGCAATTTATACAAAATAAAACCAGCATTGTCATTAAGAAATGAATTAAGGACCTTAACAAATTTAATTTCGTCAAATTCTCTAATCTCATTATCGCCAATAGATAAATTCATTTGTATGAAGAACTAAGAACCTTTTTTTCGAATTCATTTATAGAAAATATTTGCATTAAAATTACTATTTTCATATTAACAAAATAAATATAGGTTAAAAGTTGAATAAATTTTTAAAATTAATTGAAAAAAAAAAATGTTTTTATTTTTAATTAATTTCAGAAAGAAAAATTCTTTTATATACTAAAAAAACAAAAAAAAAATAAATAAATAAAATTCTGATAATAAAC